TCGGCTCGTCTCAGACACGAGCTGCAGAAAAGTTTTTCTCTCGGCGGTAGGTGGAGCTGACCACGGCGGATGGCGGTAGTTTAAATGTGCGAAGGGGAGGGGAGTGGTATATGGCGAGTTTCGTTCGAGGCAGGGGGAGGGAATAGGATAGGTGGATATAAGGATTTAGTGGCTTAGACCCTTTGCCGATTGACTAAGTGACGTACATTTGGAGGGGAGAGGGGAGCGGTGAAGAACGAAAAGGATGAGGAAGTGTGCTTCTAGTTTTTGTCATAGATACCTAGGGTAGGGAAGGGTAAATACTGTTTGTTTGAACAGTTATGTTATAGTAGGAATGGAGAGGTCTATATCTTGCTTGCTAGCAGGATTTGAGACAGGGTAGAGAAGGGAAATGAGGATGCAAATGAGGAACTCGAGGCAAGAACTGGCGATAGCAGTAAAGAGAAAAAGACAACACTGCGCACAAAAATGAAAGTAAATTAAGGTAAATCTCATTTTATAATAAAAGCAAAAGAAACTGAGGTTTTGCTAGTGGAAACTGATCCATAAAAACCCGTCATCAGACGGGGGACTTTCCTTTTTATTAAACTGTTGCGTAAAGCTGTCTCACAAAAAGCTGCCTCACAAAAACCCGTCATCAGTAGGGGACTTCCCTTTTTATGAAACTGATGTTTAGGTAAAGCTAATAGCGAATAAGTTCCATGAAGTGGGCAAAAACAAGGTAGGATGGATGTCTGGGAGTGAAGTCAGTCTTTGCTCCTGTGAGACTCTGAAAATAAAAAAACAAAGGTATAAGTGTTGTGGACAGTTGCAGGCTGCGAGAGGAATTGTCCGCAGTTGTTGTGTAATCCAATCGGACTTTTGCCCTAAGCTTCACCTAAGCATAGCTTCAGTAGATTCTGTCGAACTTATTTGCCCTCAGCTTCACCCAAGCATAAGTTTTAGTAAATCCTGTCGAATTTATTTGCCTCATTTTCACCTAAGCATAAATCTCATAAATGTTTTTGTAAGACAAATCCTACTCGCATAAGCTCAATTTTTGTTTGCTTTTGCTTTTTTTTGCTTTTGGTTACAGATTCCAATTCTTTGATTTTACTTTTTTTCCTTTTATTCACAAATCCAGGTTTGTTTTAATTTAGTTTTCTTTGTAGTTCCGTGTTGGTTTATTTTCCTCTTTATTGCCATCTGCAGTTCTTATTTCGAACTCTAGCACTCTTCTTCCCCTCCTGTATTCTGGCCCCAATCCCTGCCTCCAGAACCGCATCGGGGCACCCACCACCTCCAAGCACTGTCACCGTTTATCGTCCTGAACTCCCAATCAGTA